ACATTTGTTCGAATTAAGTCAGACATGCGCCGTTTTGTTCGTAAACTTGTTGCCAACGAGACGTCAACTTCATTATACCCCTCTCGAAGAAAGCTGCGTCCATATTAGCAAAGAGCTCGGAGAGCCAATTTTCACAGGCCTCTCTTGAGGATTACAGGAAAAGATGGTAATCACTTGGTGCCAAGTCCGGACTATAAGGTGGGGCATTAGGACTTCCCATCCGAGCTTCTGGAGCTTCTGGCGCATCACAAAAGACGTGTGTGGCCTGGTATTTTTCTGATGGAACACAATTCGGTCTCTGTGGATCAAAGATGACCTATTCTGAATAAGTGCTGCCTTCAAGCGGTCCATTTGATAGAGGGCCGAATTGTCGTAGTATATGATTCCTTGCCAATCCCACCAAACACACAGCAAAACCTTCCTCGCCGTCAATTCGGTCTTGGCCACCGTCTGGGCCGCTTCCCCGAGTTTTGACCACGACCGTTTGCGCTCGATATTATCGTAAGAGACCCATTTTTCATAGCCAGTCACAATCTGCTTCAGAAACGGGTTGATTGTTGCGATTCAGCAGTGATTCGCGGATGGAATTCGGTACATAATGATTTTTTGCGTTAGTTCGTGTGGCACCCAAACATCACATATCTTTTTGAGTCCAAGGTTATGCAAATGGTTCCATACGGTTTTCTGATATTATATTTAGTTCCTTAGCAACTAAATAAGTGTTCACGTGACGGTCTGTTTCCACTATTTCCATTATTTTATCGCAATTTTCGACGACAGGCCTCCCGACGCGTGGTGCATCTTTGACATCGAAATTACCGGAACGGAACCTAGCAAACTGCTTTTGTGCTACACGTTCGTTTACAGTATCGGGCCTATAAACTAAATTAATTTTTTCAGCCACTTTGGCTGCTTTTTCGCCTTGATGGAAGAAAAATTGTAAAATTTAGCGAATTTTCTCTTTGCTGGATCTTTGACGAGCCACAACGTACTGAGTCAATCAATCGAAAAACTGTCGAAAATTTCAAGGAATTCGGAAACCAACCATTACCTACTGCTGACCCTTCCATAAAAAAGCTGCGTATACTATCCTATCCTCTGTTTGCCTGTTACTCATCTTCCTTTTCTTCCTCTTTTTTTTTGGCATAGCGATTATAACCAAATCAACAAAACCCAGAACCAATTAAAATCAGGTCCCTCTTCCTCTGCTTCCCACAGCGGATACTGTATCGAATACTTTCAAAGCTGGAGTGCTTTCATCCGCCACGGCTATGCTTACCCTATCCTTTTTATGAAATTTTCTATCGCCAAATCGTAAAGTGGTTTTTATAGCTTCACGAATTCAATATTTGAGGTCTTGAATCAACGTTGGCGCGGACGTTGGTCGCAAGAAGTTAAGTAACAAGATTTCCGTGCCCAATTGCTATCACCTCTTCGAGAGATAACATGGTCCGTAAGCTTTTTCCTTAAAATATCGATGGGTTCGTTGCGTGGCACGTAGCGCCGCCTTGTTGAAAGCAAACGTTGCTCAAATCACTACCATCCAATACCAGTCATAAAAAATATATAATCATCTCTCGAAAGCACAATCCATTCATTTTTGAAATAGTAAGGTCCAATCTCCCGCCAGACCATATAAAATACCAAACAGTTACATGTTGAGGATGAAGAGGCTGAAAACGGGTCTCATCAGTCAAAATGATTTTTCGATGAAACTTCGGATCATTTTCACGCATTTTAAGGACCAAATCAGCAAAGACAAGAAATTGTTGTTGATCGGCCGGCTTGAGATTGTTTGTTAACTGAACTTTGTAAGCCTAAAGATGCAAGTTCTTATGCAAAAAATAAAAATACCATATAACGATGTTTGGGGAATGCACAATTCCAAAGGACGACGAGGAATGGACAAACCTCGATTTTCTTCAATGTTTTGGGCAACAGCAGCAACATTCTCATGTTTTTTGTCTTAACATCACTAACTTGTTCCAACGGCTGAAATTTTCTTAATCTGTATTGTGATCAGAAAAGCCGCTTCACGACGACCAATACAAACGTTCAGTGTATGCCAAAATGCATATGGAACGATTACACGGTCATACTATTTCTCAGTATTTTCAAAGACTCCAGACCGGTCCAAAATTGACGAAGGTCCACTATTGACACACGAAATTATTGCCAATGAATTGGACTTGAATGCCAACCATGGCCATATCCCGAATATTAAATAATTTTCTGGGAAGCACAAAAAAGGCGATCCCACAGTCTGCGCTAAGTCTTCTTAACATCGCATATAAGGTCTTATTAAGCGTATTGTGTGAAATACTAATATGGTTCTCTGATATGGAACCCCCTAGCAAGTCAAGTTCATTCCGATTAGTTAAAAACTGTTCAAGAAAGATATTTACTTTTTGCATTAAGACATTTGCGGCGGGACTCTACGATGAATCTTCCTCTCTATACCAACCGTTTAAGGCTTCAAAGTCTATGTACTCTCCCAAGTCTTGTTGTCTGAAGTTAAATTCAACGCTTTAACTTGTATTTTACGAACTTCCAAAAGGTTGACAAAAGTAAACAAATTAATGAAATGTCAATTTACGAAGTGGAATCTCGCAGCTCTCCAATAAAATATAATGTGGGTAAGAAGAAACTCAAATGCATTACAACCATAGTTAACTTAGTGAACTGTTTTAAGGTAACTCATTATGAAGCTCTCACAAATTGCAAATAAATGTGTTCCCCAACAATTTTTTCTGAAATTTTTTGCTCCAAATTTCTGTATTCCAGTCCGACAACATGCTTCAGGACGGCCGAAAAATGTTTTAGTTTTAGGTACCGCCTTTGCCTCTTTTTATAGCGAATTACTGGCCAAGTTTTTACTTATCATACATCAAAAGATTACATCTTCAAAATTGACAGCTCCAGACTATTCAAAACAATATCTGGTATTGGAAAATCCTTTATATCAATGTCACCATGCAACTCGTACAGCTCATTCTGTTAATGCTCTATGCCACAAGCCAGTGTTCGTGGTTCAGGCCAATAATTAGTATTTATTAAAATTTGTTTTGAATCTGAACAAATCACAGAATACGCTTCAGAGCTTAGAAAACGATATATGTACGTAATTACAAGACAGCTGAAAGCCACAGAGCTGTAGGATTATTTGAGATGGGGAGAGTAGAATTTGAAATGAATTATCTATGCCTAGAACCTGAGAAGGCATAATAAAAATCGACAGTTCTTCCTCTTCATTTGTCACGTCACTAAAGGGGGGAACCTAATTTAGAACGCTGAAAATTGCACGATATTCGGCGCAGTGTTTTAGGTTTCCTTACGTATAAAATGGTTCAAGTACTTTTGAAATAGGTCATAGATACACAAATCTTGCAAAAAAAATTTACTTTCACTTTATTTGATACTGTTAAGCAATAACAATTCGTATTTGCATGTGGCATTTCTCGCTCGAAGAGTCTATTTTGTGTACACGATAGCGATCGTAGTTTTCATCTGAAACCTAAAAACGAAGAATTTTTTTGTAGCTTAGGAGTTACTCTTCTATGTGAACCTAAGATATTCAAAGAAATGTATAAAATTTTTTATTTTATGACTGTTAGTAAAAAATTTTGAATTTTTCTAAAGAAATTTTAAGATAATTTATTGAAAAAATTAATAAAAAAAAATTTTATTGAGATTTTTTAGGTTCGCATAGAAGCCTACACTATTAGCTGTAAAAAAGGGTATCACTTATGAAAATGCGACAATTACAACTTGTTTAATCGTGTGCAGAAAACAGAAAAACACTGTTTTGAGAAAATCGCATTCAAAGTTCTCGCGCCCGCTTGTCAGTCTCCTGAGCGCATTGTCCCTCAGAGGCTATTTCTGCGGAACGATAAGGAATTTGACTCGGAAATTTTTTAGAAATATTTCTGAATATATTTCTAATCGAATGAGATAAGTTTAAAAAAATTAATTTTTTTTGACCCTCTAAACCAGGTTCCCCTAAAAAATGTGACAACCATACTGAATATCAGTAAAGCTTGTGACGTCACTGAAGTTATTTATGTGAACCAAGGTTTATAGAATACAAGTTTACGACAAGAGCGCAATCATATGTTTAATGACGTTGATGAAGTTGGTTCAATTTTATGTATGCTGAAGATTTAAAAATAAATTTTCATAATTTTATCTATAAAACCACTTAACATTTTGACTAAGAAATTCTAAAGCTTTGCATTCATATTTTTTAAAATTAATAATAATCACAATAACAAGGTTCTGAATTTTTTTATATCAACAAACGTAAATATTTTAGTTTGCAAAATTTTTAAATTATAAAAATTAATGTAATTTTTTTAACAAAAATTTCTATGGCTCGCAAATATAACTTTTGGAGTCATGTAATACGAATGGTATGAGAAAATAATGTCAAAAATGTAAAAATTATCTAAATTCCAAGCGAATGCAGGTTTTTATAAAATATTAATAAGGAAACCGATTTTTGCATTTTTTCTTTGTCTGCTAAAGAGCTTTTGGGAAATGGATTAAATTTGGGTAAATATTTGATTTTATTCGGCCACCTAGACCTTGGTTGTTCAAAACCTTGCACAGTAACTTATTTTTGGCTAATTTCTGCGCCATCTTTTAATAAAAAAGTGGACAAATATGTGATTGCGGTGGCATTAGTACACAAATTCAGAAACAAAACTTGTTTAATTTCGGTTTCCTTCTGTATAAGAAATGTTTGCCATATTTACATACATAAACATTAAAAAAAAATTATTAATATATATCAAATTCGGCACACTTTTGTATGACGAAGTTGGTTCGGTGACGTCAACGATTGGCGTAACCTTGTGTGCTATAAACCTCGTATGTGAACAATAAAATATTTATAACGACAAGATCTGAACGATTTCCAAAACACTTATGGATCAGCTTCATATCACACCGATCCAATCAAATATCAAAAAATCAAATAAATAAAATATGAAAAAACGATATTCTGGTTACTTTTATTACTTTTATTGAAGAGTAATGATTATAAGAAAGCTACTGTTGTTTTCAGCTTACATATATAACCATTTTACAGTGTTTCCTTTATAGATAGACCTGAAAGTATACAATAATTATTTATTTTCTTGAATTTATGAAGTTCGTTTACATAAGATTTTAAATATTTATTAAAATGTATTTTCCTTTTTTTCTCTTTTTATCTAACACTCAAGCGACTGCCCCATTTGGAAACGCGTTTCATTTCTTTCGGCCTTAAAGTCCAATATTTTTCAGCCAACTCATATATGGAATTCTTAGGTGCATGCTAATGTGGTGCAAGCATTAGTTATTTGCATATATAAGTATACATAAATAATTAGTGCATTTAGTGCAAGTGCGAGTGCAAGCATAATTTTTCATTAATATTTTTACTCACCATTAATTGATTAATATAAAATTCATATGGTATATTGCCTGTGATGGGATCGATGGCCACAGCAAGCATTTCATCCAACTCCTCCTGTGTGAACGGTTCACCTTCTTCCATCATCATTTTGCTCATATACTCTTTGGTTATGTAAGTTTTCCCCTCGGGATCTAATACTTTGAAGGCGGCTAAAATTTTCTCTGGCGATGCTGGTTCCATTCTACGTAGAATAAAAATGCATTTAAATATATTTATTAACAGCATTTTAAGAAATATTAGAAAATCCCTTCGGCACTTGCTTACTCACTTTCTTTCCGCTATCAATTGTGCCACATGTGGCATGAATTTCGAAAGGTGCACATCACCAGCGGATTCTTCCATCTCAGTTGCCGCAATTACTTCGTTGATCTCCTGTTCGGTGGGCACACAGCCGAGAAAGCGCAAAACAGTGCCAACTTCACGTATATCGATGCGCTTATCGCCATGATGATCGAATATACAAAAGGCATCGGATATGCGTTGCTCTAGCTCATTGTTGATGGGTACTGTTCGATGGTTGTAAAAGTTGGTTATTTAAAAATCTAAATTGTTTCCACTACACTTACTAGCAGCTTCCATGGCTTAGAAGACAAGTAATTTATTTTTATATATATTTTTTTTAATTATTTATTATATTTTTATAATTTAAAATAAAATTTAAATTTTTCTCCTTTTTATAGACTTTTATGATTTTTTATGAATTTTACATTTTCTAATGTAATTTTTGTTATTTTTTCTGTTCCCTTGCCAACTGCTATTGTCGTGACAACTACTATTGCTCAAGCAAATGAATGCAGGGTGCAGACGATAAATGAGAATAGTCTTTTTAGCATAATATTCATTAACATGGTTATTAATTTACGTTGTTTCAGGAAACATGTTTCTTATGGTTTGCAAAAATATATAGTATTTCTATAATTGAGGACGGTTGGATCGTAATTTTAAAGTAATGTCTCTCATAGAAACTCTAGTGGCAAAAAATTGTGACACGGGATTCTCTTGAGTCCAATCCTTCACCAGTCAAACAGAAACATCTGGTAATCACTGAGTTGCCAGGTCCGAACTATAAAATGAATAAATGAGCTCTTTAGCAGACAAGCAATCTGTCAGAGCTTCAGGCGACTCACTATCGATGTATGTAAGCAAGCGTTGTTATGATGAAAGACAATTTCTCCCTGTTGGCCAAAGCTTTTAGGGGATTATTTCCTTCACAAGTCCGAATTAAGAGTTTGGGCGTAAAGGAGCAGCTCAGTGAATGGCTTAAGATCGTTTATGCCGGGTTACTGCCCTTCGACCACAACCGCTTTCATTTGAGGTTTGGTTTCTGGATCGTACTTATAGAAGAACCAAGATTCGTCACCAATAATAACTTTACTAAAATTGTTAGAGTGACCATTTTCAAATTTGTTTAAAGAAAATTGAGCAAAATCCACACGAGCCTCTTTTGTACCTCTTTAAAATTCGTGGTACCCATCGAGCAGTTGTCTTCCTTTATCCCAGATAATTACTTAATATTAGCGATATAGTCATGGCATTTAAGTTATAGTGACGTCATCAGTGTAAGATTTTGGTCGACCTTCTAGGGGCTCGCTCTCTACGGAAAAATATCCAGTCTGAAGTCTTCGGAACCACTTATTAACAGTATTTAAAGACGGTGCAATCGTTGCCTATGCAATTTGGCATTCACTGAATATTTGTATTGGCTGTAAATTACGCCGAACGAAAAAGAATCACTTGGCGAGTTTCAGCTTGCGTTGATGGTGGAATTTCGTCTGACCTATTCTTAGCTGTTTTCCGTTTTCTCGTAAATTATTTATGAACAACCATTACATTCACCTAAATTGACAGTTTGATGTGGTTTTTGATCTGGTCCGCACTTCTTTCGAAATGAAGCTGGCAGCACCGCTACTGTCAATGTAGAGCTTTATAGATCGGTGATTACCAAATCTTTATGGTCACAATTTGAAGAAGTTGATCCTAACAAGATCTGGTGCCAACAAGACGGGGCTACGAGTAACACAGCATATGCAACAATCGAATTATTGGGAGAAAGATATTGTGATATTGAATGGCCTTCAAGAAGTAGTGGTTTAACATCATTAGACTACTTCCTGCGGGGTTATTGAAAGTCATTGGTTTTTAGCAATAAACCAGACTCTCCTCAGGCTTTAAAAGTCAATATTGAAAGTGCTTTTCATGACATTTTACTTGATTTAGTGGAAAAAGTGCGCAAAAATTGGGTTCTTCGAACTCGTTCCTGCAAAAGAACTTAATTGTATCGATTGTAATTTACATTAAAATATAAAAAAAAAAATTTGAATTCATTTAAAAATAAATATAAGTTTTTTTTTTTGTAAATCACAAAACTTTTATTGCAAAATTCTATATTAAAATTTTACACACAACTGGGTTTGCGAATTGAGGCCAAAATTTCCTTGCTTACGTTTTCCGAAAACCTTCTCTACTCCAAATTAATTTCAAAAAAAAATTTATATATGTAGCTTGCACAATCGTTCAACCTGTTCTGGCCATTTCGAGATTCTTTAGCAGATGCAAATGTTGAAAGAACTCAAAATCCAAAAAAATCTGTGCCTCCATCTCCATATAAGCTTCATACTTTCACAACAAATATAAATATTATTGTAACATTTAAGTAAATGTATGTGCATATGTATAAGCAGGTCCATTTTCCACACACCAAGGCAAAATAGCAAAGTAGTTTTTTTTGTAGAAATGTGCATTAGCATAGCGCCATATTCCCCAACCTCCATTGCTGTGCTCCATTTATTTATGTTTAAAGAGGTATGAGTGCCGTGTCGTGTACGTGTAATGCATGCAATGCGATTGGCCAATGCTCTCTTGTGCTTAGCCAATCAGACCGCTTCATTTCTTTACAATACACTTGTATGTGAATTTTAATTGGAAAATGTTAGAGTGTTTGCCATGATGATTAATGCAAGTTTGAGCAGCAAAAAATATTTACATATAATAGTAATCTAGGTATGTAAGTACATACATACATTTATATGTCGAATAATTTTCGAGCTTAAATTTGAAGTTGGCTGAACTAGTTATAAATCTAATGAAGGACCACTGTAATCGAGTGAGCAGCAGCGCAGGCTATACGCCAAAGGTGGTAAGTACGAATTTCGATTCATGTAAATTGCATTTAATAAATGTGGTCACCTCTTGGCAGAGAAAATCAAATCGCTGAGTGCACTTCTGACATGAAATTAATCACTTCTCATCAAATCAAATTAGTCCTTGAAAAGCCTTTTAAAATTTGAAGACTTTGGGCATACACCACAAATCGTTAAAAAAAAGCCAGGAAAAGCAGAAAATCGCTCGTATATATACACACATATGGTTTTTTATATTAGGCTAAGTAAAAAGTTCGTTCGGTTTTTTTTTTAACTGATTTTTCTAAATATGATAACTTTTATTTATCCGATTTAAGTCAAATATGCGTTGTTTCGTTCGTAAACTTGTTGCCAACGAGATGCCAACTTCATTATACCCCTCTTGTAGCAGGCTGCGTCCTTATTGGCAAAAAACTGGGTGAACCAATTTTCACAGGGCTCTCTTGAGGCCAACTTCTCACCATTAAGCGCATTCGTCATGGAAAGGAGAAGTTGGTAATCACTTAGTGAATGCATTAGGACCTTCCATCCGAGCTTCTGGAGCTTTTGGCGCGTCACGAAAGACGTGTGTGACCTGGCATTGTCCTGATGGAACACAATTCGGCCTCTGTTTATCAAAGATGGCCTGTTCTGGATGAGTGCTACCTTTGTTGGCAGTAGAGGGCCGAATTGAGCGTTTGGCCATAGGGGAGCAGCTCGTTGTAGATGATTCCTTGACAATTTTCATCGCCAGTCACAATTCACTTCAGAAACGGTTTGATTTTGTTGCGATTCAGCAGCGATTCGCAGCTTGAAATTCGGTTCATCATGGTTTTTTGCGTTAGTTCGTGTGTCACCCAAATATCGAGCTTCTTTTTGAATCCAAGGTTATGCAAATGGTACCAAACGGTTTTCTGGCTTATCATTAGTTCTTCAGCAATTAAATAAATGCTCGCGTGACGGTCTGTTTCCACTATTTCCATGATTTTATCGCAATTTTCGGCGACAGGCCTCTCGAAGCGTGGTGCATCTTTGACATCGAAATTAACGGGCCCATAAACTAAATTAATTTTTTTTAGCCGCTTTGGTTGCTTTAACGCCCTCTCTTAGATAAAAACCGATTGAACTTTTTACTTTACCTAATATATACACATATTATTTGGCAGCCGTTTTAGCCGACTCGGTGGGAACGCGATCCATTATGTGCATGTTCATGAGTTCGATTCCTAGTTAAAGCCTTAATCAAAATTATGAAGAAAAGTTGTTTTCCAAATGTGATCGCCCATCAGAGGAGAATATTTTTGTCATTTAGTAGAAATTACCTCATAAAAATCCATCTTTCATTGAGACTTTGCTTGGAAGCATAACAAGACGCACACAATTAATTGGAAGAGGAGCTCGGCCTAAAGTGCAAGCTATATATATTTATTAGTGGATCAGCTCCGGAGGAATTGAGGCGCTAACAGATAAATATACCTACCATACAGTTTGTGTTTAGAATACACAAATACATGTAACGTTAGTCCATTCCCTCGAAGACATCTAACCCTGAATATGTTGAAAGCTCTTGGCATTCAGCGGTTCTTTGATGAATGAATTGATTCCGAGAAGACGAGAGTTTCCTTTAAATTGTGACTGGACTCATGTTCTAGCAGTCGTCTGGAAGGATAATCCCTGCGGAAACATCCCACCAGATACTGCTTGCACAACAAAACATTATGATTTTTAATTGGAAGCATAGCATTTCTTGCTTTGCAAATGGTTAGTTGGTAGAACTGATTGCCAGACAATGTGTGGAGCTACCAAAACTAAGGAAGTGCCATAAGGTTTCAGGCTCCTCCATAATATGCAACTTCTCCAGAAGTCGTAAGATTGTACGCCTAAACTCTCTGCGTACCTATCATATAGCTTATGCCCTGTAAGAAAATCTTAGACTGCAGATATCTCCTAACCCTTTAGCTCGATAAGATCTGGTGACCTTCTTCTGTTACACCCTGGCCATATTGTCCTGTTGAAATTACATACATTGAGATTTCTTCATCTTGTTTTAGCATTTTTTAATGAATAACTCTCCTATATTGAGCTTATAAACTCTTCCATGGTGGCGAAAGTGGAAGGGAGGTAGTCTTCCTTGCAAGCCCGCACGCCATCTCATTACACGGCATCTAAGCACCCATTTCAGGTTCAAACAGAACGGCTTAGTCATTAGGTGATGTCATCTAGAGCAGTTCTGCTTTTTAAATGGTGTGCAAGCAAAATCTACGGGTTTCCTACTATGGTACTGAAGACGGTATTTTGACGCAAAACCGCGACAATTTCATACACTTGTGAAATATATATATATTATATATAAGGTTGTCCAATATCGCCCTCCCGCTTTTTTGCTCTTCATTCAATGCTTTATAAAAAGTGTTACAGTGATCGGGTTTAGTTAAAATATGCGCCGTTTTTTTAGATGATCTGTTTCCATCTAGACGGCAACTTCATAATACCTCCCTCGTAGAAGCCCCCCTACTTATTTGCGAAGAGCCACTTTTCACAAGCCTCTTTTGAGTTCAACTTCACACCACCCGGGGCATTCGCCATGGCCAGGAACAGGTGGTAATCACTTCACTACGTCCGGGCTATATGGTGGATGCGATAAAACCTCCCATCCGAGCTCCCGTAGCTTCTGACGAATCATCAACGAAGTGTGTGGTCTGGCGTTGTCCTGGTGGAACACTACACCCTTCCTGTTGGCCAGTTCTGGACGCTTCTGGTCGATCGCCTGCTTCAAGCGGTCCAGTTGTTCACAGTAGATGGTAGAATTAAGCGTCTGGCCATATGGGAGCAGCTCATAGTGGATGATTCCCTTCCAATCCCACCAAACACACAGCAAAACCTTCCTGGCCGTCAATCCCGGCTTGGCCACTGTTTGGGACGATTCACTTGCCTTCGACCACGACCGTTTTCACTTGATATTGTCGTATGTGATCCATTTTTCGTCGCCAGTCACCATCCGCTTCAAGAATGGGTCGAGTTCGTTCCGTTTCAGCAGCATATCGCAGGCGTTGATTCGGTCCAGAAGGCGTCAAATTATGCGGCACCCAAACATCAAATTTTTTTTTGTATCCAGCCTTCTGCAGATGGTTCAAAATGGTTTGGTGACTAACTCCCATCTCCTGGGCGATGTCACGAGATGCCATATGCCGGTCTAACTCGATGTTTTCCATGATTTGATCGGTATTTGTCGTCACAGGTCTTCCGCCGGCTGGCCTATCCATGGTGTCGTTTTCACCGGCTTTGAATCGTCGAAACCATTCCTCCGCGGTTCGAAGTGATAGAGTACCATCCCCCAAAGTTCATTAATCTCACGGAACGTTTTTCTAGCGGATTTGCCTTTAACGAAGGAAAACTTTAAAACAGCGCGAGTTTCGGCGTTAGTGAACTCCATGTTTACACATCTGTAACTGTTGAACGCAATATCCAAACTAATCATGCACTGCTTTGTTTTGTAGGTTATGTCAAGACCTTTCAAATTATAGTGTTGCCAGATACGAGCTCTTTGTACATAGCCGCGAAATTCAAAAGACAAAAAAGCGGAAAGAGATATTTGACAACCTAATATATTTATATATATACTGCACGCGGACAATGGAGTATTCCAAAACTAACCGCAATCCATAAACAAATTGGTGCAATTAATATTGCAAAGTCCTAGGACTGGACCATATATACACCCTCTCTGCAAACTGACTCCATTTAATTTTCACACATTTTCTGTACACTCTGACTCCAATAGTTGAGTACCTATTGGATTACTCCAATGGACCATATGACCCAACAGCTAGAAGCTGGAACAACTTTATGAGAAACTTTATCTTACTCTACCACGTTTCTTCTCAACAAACACGAACATATGAACTCAAGGAGATACCCAATAGCGTTGAGAAAACAACAATTTGCAGAATACTTTGTTTAATTTTGGTGAATTATTATCTCGAAATTTTAAGGAAAAATGGAATTTTTCAAGATAAATGATCGGATGTTTATTTCAATGTAAAGAGAAAGATATGACATTAAAAATGGAAAACAATATCAACCAAATGGCTGCCATGGCAGCTCTGACAGCAACGTATCCTTTTTACGAAATTTTCCATTACCAAATCGCAAAGTGACTGCTTTATGCCCTCAATAGCTTCACGAATTCCATACTTGAGGTATTGAAATGACGTAGGCCTGTTGGCGTTGACCTTATCTTTCCTATGTCTACAAAGAAAGAAGTCGCAAGATGTTAAATCATAAGATCTCGGGCACTTCTTCGAGAGATAACACGGCCCGGGCACTTTTACCTTAAAATATCGATGCTTTCCTTGCTTGTGTGGTACGTAGCGCCGTTTGTTGAAAGTAAAGATTGTCCTTATTTATACCATCCTATACTGGCCACAAAAAATTATTTATCATACCTTGATAGCACAATCCATTCACAGTAACTGTTGCTCCATCCTCATTTCCGAAAAGAATAAAACCTAATGACCCGACTGAATCATAAATCGCACCAAACAGTTGCACCTTGAGGATGGAGAGGATTGCAATAACGAATCTTGTGTGTTTCCGAGCCACAGATGTGAAAGGGTTTGCTTACTGACGTAGCCGTCAAGGTGGAAATGGGTCTCATCAGTCAATATGATTTTTCTCACTATTTTTATACAGTTCAAGGACACAATCAGCGTAGACACGTTGTTGTTTATAATCGGCCGGCTTGAGTTCTTGTAAGCTTTGAGATCCAAGTCTCCATGTAAAAAATGGCTTAAAGACATTTGTGGAATGCCCATTTCCAAGGAATAACGAGGAATGGACAAACCTGGGTCTTCTTCAATACTTTGGGTTACAGCAGCAATATGCTCAGTTGCTCTTGAGGAACGTGCGAGTATTTTTAATCTTCACATCATTAACCTGTTCCAACAGCTGCCACCACTTTCTGTATTGCGGTCTGACAAGGTGCTCTTTTTTGGTTTAGAAAGAGATTTGTGTAATATAGATTAGACAAAAGAGTTAACCGTTATTGTATAAATATGCTTTAACGTTATATTTAAAATATTGCTTTATTAATATTTAAAAAAAAATATACACATTTAAGGACATTTTCAACATACACAAATCAAGTTTTTCATTTCAGTACAATTTTTATATGTTCATATTTTTTTTTATTCACTTCTAACTTACGCAATATCGTTTAAATATTTATTTTAATTAAAAAGAATTTAAGTAGATTAAACTACTCAATATATTTATGGGAATTTTAAATTTTTAATTTAATAGTTTCGATTATTATTGTTACTAAGTGCATTTCGTTCTCATTTGTTGTTGTTCTATTTAATTAAATGCGCTGTTACAGCAATATTTCTCCATATACAGACATATGGTAATTGTTTGTTTCTGTTTTTGTTTTTTTTTTTGTTTCGTTTTAATAAACAAAATAATTTATAAATAATATAATTTTACAACTAACTTGCGTTTATATATTCGCTTATTACATATTAATAAATATATTTATTGAAATTAAATAAAAGAGCAAAAATTAAAAGAAATAATTATTGAAGCAAGGAAATGATAGAAGCGCGAAAAATAACAACGATTCGTGTATTTGTTGCTCTTGCTTGTAGACTATAACATTAAAAAAAATATATATTTTTTCTTTACTTCCTTAAACTTGCCTTAACCTTCCTTTTATATACTTCTTTTGAATTTTCAAAAAAAAATTTCCGGCTGAATTATAAAAGTTAACATTTCTTATACATTAATTTGCTCGTATAGTGCGATTCTTGTTCATATTCGTTAACATAAGTGATATATATGACGTCAACAGGTCATCCATTTTGTAACCCAATGAGGTTTCACAAAGCAATTTGGAACCACGCACCAGATTGCCAATTGTCATGTGGAAATAGGTATTACCCGATGACCAATTGGAGATGCGCGTAAATGGATGTGTGATTAAAATGTCCTGTAAAACAAAGGATAATAATATAATTTAATTAAAAGAAATTTATTATATAAAAAAATATATTTTTTTCACCTTCGTAACTGGATGTATGAGGCTAACGCCATGCTTGTTGATTGCTATGAGCAGCATTTCAGGATAATTTGGTTCGGTTGTTTGTTTTACCTCGAAGAATGCTGAGCCGAATGTAGGCCATCTGAAAAGCAAATAATTTTTTTTATTATAAATAATTGCCATTAAGATGACATGATAATTTTCATTTTCATTTGACAACAATACAACACAACACAACCAATGAGCTCAAAGTTAATCTTAACTGCATGGAAATAATATTTTTATTATGTTTTTAAATTAATATGATTATCATTACATAGATAATATGAGTCATGAGATGTGATACGATATCACATAATGACGTTTTATCATATCACATGACTAGTTGTCGCTAAGGGAATAAATTCTCAACAGATAGAACAACCTCATCTAAAACAAACATAGCTGTTATGTATATACTTATGTTAATATGTATAATATCACTTGAAATCAGTATGAAGTACCTCATATTACGTTAGGAATGATTTCCATTAATGCTTCATAAAAGATCATATCATATCAAATCGCATGATATTAACTTCTTTATCATATGATCTTACATAGTAAATCAAATGAAATAAAATGGCTAACATACTAGTAAATATATAAAAGCAACTGACAGATCTAATTTTAATACATAATTTTAATACATAAATTTCGAAAATTTAATAACATCGCATGATGTCACATCACACTTATGAAATGGACATCACATGCGAACATTAAATGATTTTTAGTGCCGTATTTTTCCTTCTGTTATATAATATAGATTTTACGTTACGCTTTATTAACATGAAGATCATATGTCATTATACTTCAATATCATAAGTCACATCCCACGTTTCCAAATCTGCTCAAATTTTAAATCAACCATATCATATGATATCACTCCAAGTCGATACCTACCTATAAACGATCTTCAAAAATGCCACTTTGGCATCTTCCGAGCTCATGCCGCCATCTTGATTGTAAGACGCCACAATGGCACGCTTCCATTCGCTCGTGCTTTGCATTTTCATAATATCAGAGGGTATCAGTTCGCGCAGCATTTGTCTGTGTATGGAAGAAGAAAACATATATATATATATATATATATCATTTTTCAATAACTTCCTACAATGCCTTCACCAACTTACGGTATGGCCTGCAACTCTTGTTTATTCTCTCCGTAACGTACACGATACACTAGCGCCGCCAGTTTGGCCGCTTCTTCACGCGAACATTTATGATAGCCCCGCAATAGTTTTGGCAACTCTTGATGATAGTGGAAGATCAAATCTGCGTTACGATCCTTACCCGGCACCGTATTTGTCCACAGTTTTTTCATGAAGAATACCTGATAGGTGAATTGTGGATTTGAGCCATCACGTATGGGACGTGCCTTCTTAATCCAATCAGTCAGATGACGTACAAAGTCAAAGAAGAAATCACCCTCCGGCACTGAGATCACTTTATCGGCGATCTTGACGAATAGGGAGAAACCCTCGCTGGTGCGCAAAGACAAACGTTGTGAGATGTTGTGGCAGAAATCTTTTGCGCGTGTTGACGAGTCCACCTCGAACGCTTCGTCGGTGTCGTCAGGAAAGTAGACTTTGTGGAATATTTGTGTAGTTTTGTGCTGTATCGCTTCGACTTCCACCTGATGTGGCGGATATTTACGTTGACCATTACGTATTGTCTTCTGCAGGCGATGCATTGAATCCTGTGAAATAGGATGACGACGTGTGCGTAAGAACATCATCAACTCTTTGAGTAAACCTTGTGAGCAGGCAAATAAGCCAGTGGCAAGCCACATCAACTCCCAGCCACGCTCCTCGGATATTCGATTACGGTTGTCCGTTAATTGTTTCATGATTTGACAATAGATTTCATCGCGTAGAATTTCATGCTTGAGCGGACCATCGAATATGTGATCGGTTATTTCATTGCCCATACGCGGACGCTTCGACGGCAAATCGCCCATATATTTGAGTATGGCAGCGAAAGCAAAACACGCCTCCTCAGCGAGCTCCTCTTTACTCTGCAGCTTACGCAGTAGCGGTGCTTTAATGGGATCACGTGAGTAACGCCAAATTTCATCGGCGCGCTTTGAGCTCAGCGTTAATGTCTTGGACATGGTGCGTTTGGGTGGCAAACGGAAGTGATCCAAAGCGTATTCCATTAGCGTGTGCGGACGGTCACGCGCCTCTGTTACGCCGTTTGAAACCATGCTTAAGCGGCGACCATGATGTGCCTCCTCGATATTGAATAACGCTAAAATGTCTTGTGGGGGCTTAGTGAGGGTGGGTAGGACATAAACAGTCTCCGCAGGGAAATCACCACGTTCTTGTGTGCGTTCACATCGGCCAATACACCAGCCATTATTGAGCACCGACTCGCCACAAGACTCGTCCTCGAGTATGATGAGATCGCCTTTCAGAAATGAGAGAAAGCTAGAGCCGTCTGATGGCGCGCGATAGTCTTGTATTGCGATCACATAGTGCGAGCTGTGAAAAGAGAACAAATAAAATTAATTTTTGGCTTAATGTGCGTCACAGAAAAATTGATTACCGTTTCTTCAGTCCGTCTAGGAAGTACACCACCAAGTCTCTAATGTCCTCCGCGTTCGGGCTCTGGAAGGTGAATTCCTCACCGCGCACAGTGGCTAAACTGAATGTTTGAGTGAACACTTTATTGGTCTTCTGACTGGATACGGCGGTGATCTCGGGGAAGCTCAACTCTAATAGCACCTGTTCTTGATCATCCACAACATATACGCCCGTCCAATTCACCGCTATGATGACATCGTTCTTGGGTAAATTCGGACCCGAGTTGCGATAAGCTTCGTAGAAACGCGAGAACAGCAGTGGCCATTTCAATTTTGCATAGCTAACAATGTCTTCTTTGATTTTCAGTGCAGCCACTTTATCGCGTACATAGTAGGACTTCTTATAAGCCTGCAACACCAAGGCAGCCCAACGTTCAATAGCCTTTTCCATGCCCGTCAAGCAAAAGTCGGGTATAAAGTTGGGCAACAGTGTGAAGAGTCGCTCCATAGACATATCAGTGCCGTACTCAATGAAGTATTGCTGCGCCGCAATCATCGCTAAGTCGTCCTCCTTGTCACAGCGATATTCACCGAACTTGACGCCACGCACCACCTGCTGGTAGATCAGATTCGTGGCGACCTGATCTTGTGTGGGATCATGCCAGGGTGCAAAAATTTCTTTACGGAAGAAGAGACGCCACGGCGCATTGCGCTCTTGTGCGCCTTGCTCTTTCGCATATTGCTCGCACTGCGAGATCGCATCCATTACATGATCGCCACCACTTCCGAGCGATGAAACCTTATCGAAGAGCGCTATGTAAAGTGAGAAGCCGAATTGGTCTTTGAGCGTGATTTTATCGGAGAGCTGATTGCAGAGCTCACGTGCAGTAGTAGCCGAATCGGCGAGCAGCGTCTTCGTATTGCCATCCATAAAGGTGATGGGCAGCATGATTGGTTTTTTCGACTTCGTGGCCTGTAACTCTAGCCAAGAAGGTGGCTGATTACGTGTGCCATTGTTAAATGTGCGTTTCAGTCGCTCCTCACAGTACGGTGCATAACCGGGCGGACCTTCGCGTATGAAGGCGCGTAAGTAGTTAACAAACTTTTCTGAAGGTGCAAAGCAGCCGACACAAAGTGAGAGCAGTATCCAGCCGCGTGCGTGCGAGGATTTGAGCGGATTATTAGTGAGCTGTTTACAGATTTGACAATAGATTTCATCGCGCAGCTCAGCGCGTAATATGCCATGGCCGATAATGAAATGCAATTTCTCCAGATTCGAGGTAGGACGGGATTGTAGCCAAGACTGATAGCTATCCGCAGTGTATTCCTCATCTTGTAAACGACGACGCACATCTTCGCCGAGCTTATTCTTACGTTTTAGTGTGAGTGAAACGAGTTTGTGGCGTATTGAACGCGGTTTTTGTTTAAGGAACGCATCAGGGTCGAGACCCATAAGTTGAGCTTCTTGGAATTCCTATGTGAAAAAGAGAAGAAAGCATTAGTTTTGGATACAATGTTTATGGTAAAGAACACCTACTTTACTCCTTATGAAATTTCGTCCCAACGTCGCTGTGACTTTCGACATAACGGATGTGGTATCCATGCGATCCATCGTGTGGTACTTCGGTTCGGGCATATCACCGGTAAAGCGAAGTATAGTGATCCAGAGTGCTTGCGCAGCCAACTGGTCCCCTTGTGTATGCAATGGCAGCAACGGATGCTTCAGCGCCTTCTTGGAGTACTGATGCGTCACATTACCTTGGAAGTAGGTAGCGGCGAATTTCTGGAACTTAAACTCAGAAAGATCCTCTTCGTCTTCGGAGACGTGCATTGGTCCAATTATGTCCTACAAAATAGGGAAGAGCAAATGTTTATATGAACTTTAAAATTATTCTCGAACTTAAGCCCACCTCGTGATTCATCGAGTTGTTATGCGGCAGGTCGTTGAAAACTGACGTCTCGCGTCCCGCATGTGGTGTTGGCGCTTCGCTGCTCGAGTCCGGTAAAAAGTCAAACATTGCCTCCACTAATTTACTATCATCCACCGGCTCGTCTTGCTTGCGCGCCGCATCGTTTATAATATTTTTCTTCACCTCAACTCGCCTGCGATCCTCAATCTCCTTCTCCATTTCCCGGCGCTCCAGTTCATGCAACCGATCGCGATAATGTTGCTCTGCTATCTCGCGTGCGTGCTTATTACCCTTGTGCATGAGTTCTTTCTCCTCCAACTTTCGTAAATGTAACACCTCCGCAAATTGCTTATACTCCTCGCGCAACTTCTGATATTTACGCATAGCAATCATGCGTCGCACATGCGATTGTATCTTTATGATGGCCCACATTTTGTGTCCATATTCGCGACGCACCAAATAGCCACGCGCATGTGCCTGCAAGCCGACAATATGACCGCGCAAATGCCTGAAGCGATGCGAAAGTACACGCGAACGTATGAGCGCCTGCAAACGCATATAGCCGACGCGCATTTGACGATAGCGCTGACGCTGCGCGTAACCCTTCCAGTAGCGTTGCACTGTGACGACAGCAGCGCGCATACGCAAATAGCGACGCCGATAAACCCAACCGCGTATGGTGCGTTGGAGAATGAGAATTTTGCGCGTCAGCACACGATCGCGCTCCTGTTCAAGGAAGAGGTCGTGCGCATCTTTCAAAAATACCTTCGTGTTACCCAACTGATAATCTGATTTGCCCAGAACAATAGCGCAAATGCGTGCCGTAGCGACGCGACAATCAGTGCGATGCGCAGGCGGCACGCCGGGTATGAGAAAACGATAACGCTCAACAAAATCACGAAAGCCATGGCGTATGGGATAGCCAGCGCGACGTATGCGTATCGTTTCCATCATGCCCGAGTAACGCAGTTGCCGACAACACAAGCCACGATCGAAAAGCATCGGTTTTTTCAACTCATTGGGCTTGATACAGCGTATGAAGAAGGGCTGACAGGTGCTCAGCGTTTTCATGAGCGCATCCAAGCTCTTGCGAAATTGCGTTGAAAGTGTGGGTGTGCGTTTACGCGTCTCGGCTCCCATTTCAATATCCTGATTGAAAATTTGACGCAAGAATTTATTCGAACACTGGCTAACCAAATGCAATAGGTCCGGACTGAAAGTGTCGCGATTCTTATCCAAAAAACCGCTAGTGTCATAGAACACCACACCGGCGAAATGATTCAAACCAAAACTAGTGTTGATGTCCGACTTGGGCTTCAAGTAATTCTTGTGTGTGCCATGCGTTTTGTGCAGCTTCGCCAACATAGTCTGGTCCGTGCCTTTCGGGAAACGCGCCTCTTCATCGATCAGCGCCATAATATTCAACTGTTTAATGGCAATCAGATCCAACGCATCCTGATTATCCACGAACTCAATATGTTGCCAATTGATCGCTTCATGATTATACTCCTCCTGTTCGAGCTTGAAAATATGTTGCACAAAGAACTGTTGCAAGTTCTCATTGGCGTAATTAATGCAAAATTGTTCAAAACTATTCTGATCGAAATTTTCAAAACCGAATATATCCAAAACACCTATAGCGTTACGTGACGTGCCGCGTGGCTTAAAAATTGCTGAGTTGATCTTTCGCACAATGTGTACAAACAATCGGCCGTAAATGCCTTTCACGAATGCGTCACGCACATCAACCGACTGTTCGCGAGACAAGGTGGACACCACCGTCTCGCCGTGTGCGAAGAGCGTGCGCCGTGTCAACGCATCGATGAGTGGTTGCATAGGCAGGCCGAGTAAGGCAGCAACACGTTCGACATTTATGTGTTCGGGTATTTCGGTCGCATCTAAGTTGTCAACAACTGTTGCTTTATAACGGATGTTGCCGCAGTGGAGGAGCGCAGCGAGTAACTTAATGATTTCCCAAATTTCTTGATCAGAGAAGAGTAACACTTTCATGGCGGAACGTATATCGGAAAACTCCGCAGCATCGTCTCGACCCTCACAAGTGATGCAATCGCCGCCGGTAAGGTATCTGGGATGAAACGAGAAAAAAAACTTTGTTAGCAAAATTTTTGATCAAATGAGGTTGAGTAAGGTTGGGTTGATCTACATTATAGTAACAAAATTTATGCCTTCTCTTTATATGGGGTTAGAGACCAAAAAATTTTAAAGAGAACGTTTGCGGATTCCTTTCGGGATATTTTTCTGGATACTTTATTGACCTCAAGGCTATCGTTACTCCTTTATCTTCTTAGGCAGCTAGACCAATTTTTCAATATCTTCGTTAAAATTATTCTAGGGTGTAGACTGTCCAAGAGCTTGAAAAAAATCGGCGTAAACTTTAAGGAAAGATAGGGAGACTATATGCAAGCTGACCTTATCTTTCAGAAGAAGTAATAAATCTCTCTATTAAGCGAAAGAATGGAAGATAAGTGAAACTCTTAATGTTGTTTGGAGTGGTGTTGAGAGGAAAAGCACTTTTTTCCGCAGTTGAAATGTTTGAGCTCACAACCTTTGGAACTATAGACGACGACTAATAAAGTTTAGAGTCCAACCCATAGTCGTCGGAAACTAGTACAGCTTGGGGTTTTGGAGAGGACTGCGTATATAAAGTTGGGCTCAGATGACATAATAGAAATCGGTAGTAGAAATATTTAAACCACCTTTACCTTTTAAAATGAGAAGGATATTGATCGGACAGCATAGAAGATTATCAAAACGGCGGTAACCGTTGGCTCACCGTTAGGGCTCATAAAATATGGCTGCGAAGAACTTACCAGGTACATGTCTCTTTGGAGAATATAGTCGGATATCCTAAAGCATGCCCGACGATTGTGCGCTCTGTCTAATTCATAAAGAGAGTGATTGTATGAAAGCATAAACTCACCCGTCAAACGAACTAATTGGACCTGATCAGTATGGCGTCAGACTTGACATTAACACAGCGCTAAGTTTTGAAAAAGAACTGTGGGAAAGAATCGAACCCGCACACAACCACTTCTCCGATTTTAAGGCAGACTTAAATAGAACGAAAAGGAGATCCCTCTGCGTCACTATGTCTGAATTTAAAATTGTTGAGGTCCTCAGTTTCTTTTCGTTCGGTACCAATTAAGATTTCAGACTCCCTACCCCGGGGTTTCTTCCATATAATGTGGGAGAAAATAATAAGAGCTACAGAGCTAAGCAGACAAAGGTACAATATTTTACAAGAGTGGAAAATGGGCGGCCGCGGTAGCCGAGTGGTTAGCATTACGTACTGCTATTCAGAAGACTCGAGTTCAAATCTCAGTGCGACCAACCAAAGTTAAAGAAAATTAATTTGAATAAAAAAAATTAAGTTTAATTTTCTAATTGTGGTCGCGCCTCGGCAGGCATACACTCCCTAATTCTGAAAAGTTTTTGAAAGATCGAAAACGTCGTATGTGCTTGCATTACCAGCCGAGGCTTTCTCAGATTTTTGTAGATTTTATACTGTTTCGGTTTTAAAACTCTGACATGCAGCGCACATTTTCACCTGTTTTTCCATCGAACCCATCTTCAAAAAACCAATCTATCGACTTACTTATAATCCGATGCATTGCCCAAATCCAAACGCCTTTTCTCCTCGCCTGATAAACCCGCCAACAGGCAGTAGAAAACATGGTAATTACGTTCGCTATGATTTTGCGAAACTATTCGAGATTTCTCCAAGAGATATTGTTCGATTTTAGCGCCTTCGATGACACCACTCGAACTAAAGTGTATGTCAATATATTTGCCAAAACTGTAATGAGAGACAGCATTAGTATTTAATTGTATTTACAACAGAGTCTCTCCACTGCCACTCACCGCGATGAATTGTCATTTCGTACGGTTTTCGCATTACCGAACGCTTCGAGTATCGGATTCGCTTCGAGTATTTGTTGTTCGATCCATGAGTGTTTGCCGCTTATTGCCGCTAAATATTGTAATATCAATTTTGTGCTCTCAGTCTTGCCAGCACCCGATTCGCCCGATATGACAATACACTGATCTTGACGGTAGCGTTTCATATGCGCATAAGCATTGTCACCGATGGCGAATATATGCGGTGGCAGCTCGCCGATTTTACGCTCTTTATAGAGTTTGATTTGATCGGCAGTGTAGATGGGTAATATTTGATAGGGATTGACAGCGACCAAAATGGAGCCAGTGTAAGTCTGTGGGTGAGAGGCGAGAGAAAATAATAGTAATAATAATATGTACATTCGTATGAGTGATTAAAATATACTTACATATATCAAATTCTCTTTGTAGCGTATGAGTAAATTTCTCAATATGCCCGCTTCGTGCAAATCGCCCAGCGATATCATATCCTCCACACCCTGCACCGAGGAGGCATGCATCGCTTTAATGCGCCGCTCGGGCGAAAGCCATATTTCATTGCCATCATCGTCGCGTACCTGTATGCGTCTACCTTCGGCCGATATGACACGAGCGCCAATGGCTACATCGAATTCTCTACCCGATGCGGGTTCTATCCAGATGTAGTCACCCTGTTTGAAGAGACGAGAAGAATGATTTAGAAGAATTGTATATACAAACGCCTTTATAAAATAAAATATTATGTGTAAAAAAAAAAATCACTGAATCAAGGTTAGTCATAGACAGGGTCTAGCTCAATAAACAAGGGGATGCTGCACAAAATAGACCACATACCCACACGGGTTACCTGAGAAAGAAGATTTTAATTCATATTAAAAGAGGGAGAATGACGCACAACCGTACGACCCACCAACCGAAGTTGAAACTTCAAAACGGATGGCTCAAAATGCCCTGTGAGGTGTGCGCCGGAATCTATCGTGCTAAGCTTTCCGAGTATTAAAATAATCTACAGGTGAGATCTTGGCGGTAAGGAAAGCTGCCAATCTATCTAACACCGCAGGAAACAACATGAACACATCGATATAATATTAATTTCCATGTGGCATTCGGAACTATATCCCATATTGTTTTACATTTGAAAATGTATTTAACACAGGGAGGCCGCGATAACCGAGTGGTTAGCAAAGCATACTATCATTTGGAAGGTAAGGTTTCGCGTCCTGGTTCGACCAACATCCAAAATCATAGGAAATTATTCTTTTCTACCTGTGGTCGCCCCTCGGCAAGGAATATCAATCCCGCCGAGGGTGTTTCTGACATAGAATAAATGCTCCTCATACAAAGCCATCGGCCAGTCGGAGACGGCTTTGCATAAACCCTAGGTTCCTCCATTTATTGGAAAAATTTTAAGATACACACCACCACCAAAAATTGGAGGAAGAGCTTAGCCGTAAATCAGCGATAGCCGCAGTGATAGCTACAGGGAAGCAACTATATGTTGGATTCCAGAACACAAGTTCTTTGAGGGAAACGCAATAGTTGATCGGATTGCCAAAGTGACATGCATGCGGAAATGTGAAATGCGAAAGACGCTAAGGACTTTTGGAAATGAGATTTCCAATATAACTGCAAGACAGATCTCGGCGAGACACCATATTAGCGTAGCAGAGCGTGGATCAGGTAGGCTTCAATTCACCCTTATCTACAATAGAACTCGTCTTAGCTAGCTCGGAGCTTTGCAACACAAAGAACTAGAGTAAGTGTCAAACTTGTATAAAAAGACTCTTCTAAGGAAGCAAGTCCTACGTCCTACACGATCACTAATTTGATACAAATAAATTTTAATCTACTTCTGACACTACAAAGGGTCAACAAGTGCATGTACTTGTACTTCTTCTTTTTCAAAGGGACAATTGTAAAATTTAAAAAAAGTTTAAAAGAGATACAAGTTATACGTGGAGTGTAGAGAGAAGTATAGCCTCGATCTTCAAAGAGCATACGAAAGGTAAAGATGAGATCCCCGCTAATAGTGGGAGCAATTGTACTCGGAGATCAAGTCATCCTCTGAAATTTGAGGAAACTGGACATCAAATATTACCATTAAAGAGAAATGTTAGATCGATGAGAGGTTATAACACCTCCACAATTTATTATCATCTGCTCTAACTAGCGTTTTGTAGAGGTTTGAAGCAAAATATGTCCCAAATGGGTCTATTTGGCCAGGAAGAGAATCTTCCTTTGTCTCATATATGTTTAATTTAAGCTCGCGCACATTAAACTCAACGCTTCTAACATTAAATGAGCTCTTTGTGTTAACGCATTTTCAAAGCATTAATCAAACAGTTTTTTGTATTTTTTGTCATTAAACAATTTTTTTTTGATTTAATCGTGTAGCTCTAAATAACTGAGAGTACAAAGCATTTAAAAATGTAAATAATTGTTTTTACTATTTACAGTTACGCACCGAAATGAATGAGTTTAATAATGTATATATACGTATATACATATACTTGTATATTATTTAGTTTGGCTGAGTGAGTTAGCGTGCTCGTCACCCGAATGCCTACAACATGTACCCAGAGGTGGTGCATTAACCCTGCTATCTGCTCAACAATCCAAAGCAGCAAGTTACACCCAACAAAACTAAACTGAGTCCCCCGACAATCATGCGAACAACTTTTTAAGGTTGTTTTGTTGTTGGCAACAGCACAAGAGCACCTACAGCTGTTGGCGATTGTACGATGGTTATTTTGGTTGTTTTACGTACTTAATGTCCAGCTTTTTTGCTGTACAGCCATTGGCTCTCTTTCTTATAATGTTGTTGTTGTTGTTGTTATTCTTATCGAGTGATTCGTATTACTGCCACTTTTACCATCATCAACACAACGCCACTATTGCCGCTGGTTCTAAGTCAACTGACAACAAGCAACAACAACTTTATAACAAGCACATTTGCAGGCTCATTAATGAATGATGATAACTATATACCCAGGTATATAATAGACAATGTACATATTCACGTACATATAACCCATCAACTTATTCGTATATAATCAGGGCGTTTTTAAAACCAGATTTTTCAAAGAACAGTTTTTAAGGAAGTCAAAATAGGTAAAGTTTTTCCTCGTCTTGTGAAAGGTTCGCATGCTTATGTCAGAAGCTTTTCGCCACCTAATACCCGCCACAATATGAAAATCTGCTTGGCGACTTTAAAGCCAGGGTGGGTACCTGCGACTCTTGGAAAATTCAGCCACCATAACGAAAGGTCCCCTAATGGTTTGAGCCTGGTCGACTTCGCCGGGCTCCGAAAAATGATTGTCTGTAGTACTAGACTCTAGGCTGTCCTCTAATCGATAAACACAAAACCAAATCGATCATGTTGTGGTAGACGGAAGACATGTCTCCGGATTTCAACTCGGACCACTATGCAGAACGCTCGTCAACAAATACAAGGAAAGTTCGACGTTAAAAAGCTGCAATCACGCTGAACGGTTTTCTACTCGGCTTGCACTCCTATTCTCTGAAAGCACTCATCAGCAACTCGGTATACGTGAACCGTGGGATGGCTCTTCAAGCTTCCTACGTACAGCTGCAAACGAAACTATTGGATTTCGGAAAGTTCGTACAAACAGCTGGTACGATGAAGACAACCGTGTTGTAGTGGAGAGAAAACAGACTGCCTACCTCGGAAACCTGTGTTCGACCACAACACGTGTGGGATGGGATGGATACCGGGAGATGAAGAAGGAAGCAGACAAAAAAGAGAGAGGCCGCGAAGCGTGAGCATGAAGAGCTTGAGAAGCTGGTCGACAAGGGTAATGTTGGAAAATTTTATGAAAAGATACGACGGCTTAAAAAAGGTTTCAAGACCGGAACAGACTCTTGCAGGACACAATGAGGTGATCTAGTGACAGATGCCCGGAGTATTATGAATTTATGAAGGGAACACTTCGCTAACCTCATGAATAGCAGTAAAAATGAAACACCAGGAGATGTAAAAGACGTTCCACTACCCGACTAAGGTGAAATTGAAATAGCGATTGCACGATTAAAGAACAACAAAGCGTCCGGAGCGGAAGATCTACCGCCAGAGCTATGACGATGAAGAGCTGAAAAAGTGCATGCATTAGCTACTTTATAAAATTTAATCGGACGATTGGAATTTAAGTGTGTTCTGCCCAATCCATGAAAAAGAGGACCCCACTGTATGCGCTAATTACCGAATGATATTTATATATATATATATAATTGGCGCTTTGTAGCCGCTGAAGCGGTTTTTTTGGCCGAGCTCCTCCTCCAATTTGTGGTTTTGCATCTTGTTTTTTCTTTCCAACAAATGGAGGGACCTACAGTTTATACTAAGCCGCCTGAGAACGGCTGATGTTTTTTTATGAGGAGCTGTCTGAAATACACTCGGACTTTGGATGATGGTGGCACCGAGCCATCCGAATGTCAGTACGCGATGCTAACCACTTGGCTACCGCCGTGGGATAAGACTCCTTAATATCGCATGTAAGGCCCGTTCGAGCATATCGTGTGAAAGATAAAGCCCACTGTCAACAAACTGATGGACCTTATCAACGTGGCTTTAGGCCTGGTAAATCTAACATTCTCCAGATATTCACCATAAGCCAAATCTAGGAAAATACTCGTGGAAAGAGGTGGTGGGTACCTCTTCGTCGTACCTTCGATAGCACGAACAGGAGCTGCCATTATGCCGCTTTGTGTAAATTTGGTATGCACGCAAAACTTGTATTGTTATGTAAACTGACCTGAAGCAGCTCTAAAGCTTCGTCAGGATCGCAAAAGATCTCTCCGAGCCGTTCGATACCCAGCGAGGTGTCAGACAGGGTGGTTCCTTATCGTTTGACTTTTTTAACTTTCTGCTGAAGAAAATAATATGAGCTGCAGAGCTGAATAGAGAACGTCCAATCCTCTATAAGAGGGCAAAGCTGTTGGCGTCCGCCAATGATATTGACATTATTGGCCTTAACAACAGCGTCGTGAGCTCTGCTTTCGGCAGACTTGATCAAAAAGCAAAAGCTAATCTGGTAGTGAACGAAGGCAAGACGAAATATCTCCAGTCAATTAACAAATAGTCATTCCCATTCGCGACTTCGCTCCCACGTCACTATTGACAGTCATAACTTTGAACGCGCAGATAACTTCGTCTACCTTGGAACCAGTATGATATCAATGTATATTTATATAAATTTATTAGTTTATTATTTTATATATTTAATTTTGTTATTGAATTTCGTTTTATTTTCATTTATCTCACTTCACATTAATTTATTTTATTTATTTATTTTTTACTTATTTTATTTTATTTTATTTATTTCACTAGATCTTTTTATAAATTTTTTATACATTTATTATTGTTTATTAAATTTACTTTAATTTTATATTCAATTTAAATTTATTTCTTCAATGTGCCTACCGCTCTTTATTCTCCCTCTGTGTGCTGTGGTTTCTATATCAATGAACGTACTATTCTCTACGCCGTTGCTGTATTTGGCGCAAAAAAATTCACTTAAGCGTGACGATAAGCATCCGCTCGCTCCCATTTCTCATGGAGTACTTTGTTTTTGTTATTAATTCTTATTTTTATGATATTCGTAGCGCACGCCGTATGACGCACAAGGTTTAAAACGTGTCTCTAAAAAATCGGAAACAAATCTGTTTAGCAGGTACTCTAACCGGTTAAGTGTTTATTTTTTATTAGAAAAACAGTGCGCCAGGTTCTATGTAGTTCTTATAGGGGGAAATAGAGTTTGGGGGAAACGTTTAGCGCACGTTACGAGATGTTCAAGAATTTCCAGTATAATATTTTATTTTATTTTTTTTTTTCAACTCTGCGAAGTTCATTACTAGTATATTGCCAGCGTAAAATTACCAGACTGCTTTATAGACGCTCTAGATAGTGGCAAAGTTATCTACATACATATGTATGTACGATTGAATATACTTTATTATCCAGTGCTGGCCACTTTTCGACAACATATTGTCGGTAAATGTCATTATGATGGCTTGGTGGTTTATGGATGCCGCTACTGCTACTTTTGCTGCTCTCAGTGTTGTGATTTCTATTCGAAACTAGTGCTTTTGTTTTTGTTATTGAAGTTATGTTTACTACAATTGGCATTGCTAGGCGCTTTGCTTGTATGATGTAATAACCGTGACCTGAATCTTATGTCAGGTGTAACGTTCCATGTTTGCGGTCGAAATGGTTTGGCATTTAACGCTCTTGTACCCGTATAGCTAATCGTATTATTATTGTTATTTTACTTTATGTTTTGTAGTTTTTTCCATGTGCATATACATATGTATTTTTGTGAATATGACTCCACGTGGAAACATCTATACATAAACATATAGCTATTACGCGTAAATGGGAGTATACATTAAAGTACATATATACATATCGTATGTATATACGTATGTTTCCAGGTGCAATATGTAATTATTTTCCATATACTTAACTATTTCATAACATCAAATAATAGAAAAATGAAATGAGCGCAGATTCATATACTGTATGTGTATGTTATGAAGGGAGTGAAATTAGAGATGGTTTAAAGAAAGACCTCTAAAGGTGTAGGTTATATCATACATATACTTTGGGAGTTTGTAATTTTATTTTATATTTATAATTTTATTTCATTAAATTAAATTTAATTTAATTTAATTTTATTTTATTTTATTTTATTTTATTTTATTTTATTTTATTTTATTTTATTTTATTTTATTTTATTTTATTTTATTTTATTTTATTTTATTTTATTTTATTTTATTTTATTTTATTTTATTTTATTTTATTTTATTTTATTTTATTTTATTTTATTTTATTTTATTTTATTTTATTTTATTTTATTTTATTTTATTTTATTTTATTTTATTTTATTTTATTTTATTTTATTTTATTTTATTTTATTTTATTTTATTTTATTTTATTTTATTTTATTTTATTTTATTTTATTTTATTTTATTTTATTTTATTTTATTTTATTTTATTTTATTTTATTTTATTTTATTTTATTTTATTTTATTTTATTTTATTTTATTTTATTTTATTTTATTTTATTTTATTTTATTTTATTTTATTTTATTTTATTTTATTTTATTTTATTTTATTTTATTTTATTTTATTTTATTTTATTTTATTTTATTTTATTTTATTTTATTTTATTTTATTTTATTTTATTTTATTTTATTTTATTTTATTTTATTTTATTTTATTTTATTTTATTTTATTTTATTTTATTTTATTTTATTTTATTTTATTTTATTTTATTTTATTTTATTTTATTTTATTTTATTTTATTTTATTTTATTTTTTTTTATTTTATTTTATTTTATTTTATTTTATTTTATTTTATTTTATTTTATTTTATATTCTTTTATTGTTTCATTTTATTCTTCTTTGTTTTATTTTACTTCACTTTACCTTATTTCTTTTTTATTTTATTTTACTTTATTTTAATTTAATTTTATTTTTTTCAGTTTATTTAATTTTTCTTATTTTGTTTTATTTTATTTTATACTTGTTCGGGTTTATGACTTATCTTCCACATATGTTGTTATATATAATTATCTGCATATAGTACAATTGTACTTTTACTTAACAACTGCAATTACACTCAAAAATAATGACTCGCGTCACTTTAGCAAAGTAATCAATTCAGTTTTCGTTCTGCATTGGAATAAATATTATAAATTGCAAGTTGCAATGTTATGTATAAGGGTACATATGAACACACTTACATATACCAAACGCCAAGGCGTAAAGCCATTACGGGCCACTTAATATGTCAGAACAAAAAGTGTTAATGAAATGGTGATTAAAATGGAAATACAAGTTAACGAAAGAATAATAAGCGCTTAGAAGGAAAATGATTTCATAAATACAGGCAATTAAATTCGCAGAAAAGATGCTATATTACGATAAATTAATATGGATGAAAAATTGGAATGCATAGAAGGTGCAGAAGACGCTGAGTACTAAGGAGTTAACAACTGAAATATGGACAATATATGAATAGCTACCAAAGCTATAAAAAATTAAAAGGTATCAGAGAGATCTTTGTAGAACTTATAAATATGGGAAAAATGCTCCAAAAACCAAAATTGATAATAAAAAAATAAGATAGAAGCAATAAAAGCATAGAAAAATATAAGTATGTATATAAAAAATTTGATTTCGATACAAAAGTACAGCAGTATAATATTTTTCTGGAGACATAATATAACACTTCATATGAATGAGTAGGCTTTCTTAGAATGATGTGAATATTTATTATTATTAGGGTTTTATTGCTTTTTTATACTAATTAAATTTATTTTATTTTAGATCTTAAGATACTTACTCGTGTTACAATCACCATTTTTGAACTTCATTGACCAATTTTAACGTAAAAATATTCGAATTTTCTCTAACAAAATTAAGAAAAGTTATTTTAAATGCGACTAGTTGCTGAAAAGATATAAAAAGAGAAAGTTTTTTTTTATAAAGTTAGAGAAATATGTAAAATAGTTTTTACTAAAATAAAATAAAAATAAAACAATTAAAAAAAATTAGAAATTATCGAAAGATATTAAAATAACACTAAATAAAATAAAACAAAATATATTTAGAAAATGAAAAATTACATGCAATAAACAAAGCAAAATAAATTAAAAAAATATAAAAAATATAAAGTGATATAAAATAAAATTAAATATATAATAAAAAATAATTATTTAAAATAAGATAAAATAAAATTAAAGTAAATAACGAAATATAAGGTAAACTAAATCAAATAAATAAATTATATTACACACAATAAATAAATAATAATAATAATAAAATCAAATAAAATATATAAAAAATTTTAGAGTAAAATAAAACTAAATTTAGTGACAACACAATAATAATAATTATTAATATAAATAACTTAAACAAAATAAATAAGCATGAAAGAAAATAAAATGAAAAAAGAACCAAAAAACGAATTGTAGTAAAAAATAAACTAAATATAATAATAAATATATATTATATATAAAATAAAATAAAATGAAATGAAATAGAATAAAATAAATAAATCTAAGAAAAATAAATAAAATAATATAAAATAAAGAAAAAATGAAATAAAATAAAATAAAATATAATAACATAAATTAATATATTAAAATAAATAAAAACAAATAAAATAAACTGAAATTAAAAAATAAAAATCAAATTTAATTAATAGATACATTTAATTAATTAATATAATTTAATTTGATTAAATTAAGTAATAAATTAAAACAAATTTTTGAAAAATAAATTAGAATAAAACGAGATGAAATAATATTAAATAAAAAAATATAATAAAACAAAGTAAAACATATTAAAATATAAGAAAATAAAGAATAACTAACTGTAGCAAAATTAAATAAATGAAAAATAAATAAGTTTAAAAAATGAAAATAAAATAAAAAAGGAAAAAAACACAAAAATAAAATGAAGTAAATAAAAAAAAAATTAATATAAATCTAAAAGAACTAATTAAAATAAAATAATATATAATAAAATGAAATAAAATAAAATAAAACATTATAAAATAAAATAATAATATAAAATGAAATAAAATAAAATAAAATGAAATTAAAAAAAAAACAAAGACCTCAAAATGGAAACATTTACTAGAAACTCGTCGCATTTTGAAGTTGCGGTATTGGAGTAGAATCAATGTATAAGCCGGCCTACCTACGATCTGTTAATTAAATGTTGCGTTTTTACTCTATTTACAGACAAATATACATAACAATATATAAATGTATTATACATTCGTAGAGCCATGTAAGCACATACCATGTTGTCATAGCTATTATTATTATTTGTATTGTACTTGTTTAAGGCACTGCTTTTGCATTTCAGAAATGCAGTGCTTTGCACATTTCGCTTTACCTTGCCTCCATCAGCGGCGGCACTGCCTTGAATTTGAGGTGAAGTTGAATGAAATTTACGGTAAATTAACTAGTATTTGTCGGACAATGCTGAAAGAAAAACGTAACAGAGCAATATAAGAGATGCAACCAGCAACAAAATAGATGGTGCAATGAGAGAGTTGCCACACATAGCAAACCAATACCTGAGTGCGGCAACTCTGTGCAACTATTGTACATAAATGTGCAAGCGCAGCAGTAACAAGAGTATGTTGCATGCAATAAATGCCAAGCGAATGCGATCACAGACATACAATGCCGCCACAATTGCAGGTAAGTAGTTAGTAATAAATACACTTCTGAGAGTTATCCTACATATGTATGTATGTGTGTACGTTAGCGAAAATATAGGAAATGATTACGAGTATGTGACACGCAAACACGTTCGGTGCTTTAAAGAGGTTTTCCATTTTCTTTCAATTTCTTGATCTTTCTTTACACATTTCCCAGACGCACTTGCCACACTCGGTGGCAATAAGGTTTTTTTGTGTACATAGTGTACGTATTATATATAAAAGCAGTGCGTATGAATTGTATCTATAGTTACGAGTATGTACTAAGCCGGACTTGCTTTTTCTTAAGACACTACATCGTTTTACGGTATTTTTAATTAAACGCATGCGCGTAGGTACGGCATTTAGTCGACCAACCGCAATGTTGAATTCCATACAAGTGACCGGATAACGTGCATACTTATATAGTGTGAATATTATGTATACGATTCATGGTTGAATAATGAAAATTTTATAAATCTTTAAGTTATGTTAGGAAAAAAAAAAATTATAAAAAAGTTGGTATTTTGTAAGTAAGAAACTTTTCCGCAAAGTGTTTTTAGATTACGCACTTTTTGCTGGCGAGTAACGTAATAGATCCGCAGCCATTAAAGAGTTATTTGTAAGTATAGGAAGAAGCTTTTTGTCAAAAGAAGACAGTCTATGATATGTTACACAGAGAGTATCGCCTAACTCGGACCACTGGTCTATTGTGCTCTCTGCTTCTTCTCCATTACATCATACATTTTTTAAGCCATGACAAACCTACCAGGTTTGCAGGATGAATCGATTTGATGTGAATTTGTTCCGATTGCATAACTTCTAGATAGTTTAATCTTCATCTAGATGAGACCTCGTACTTCAACGATATATGGCTCGGTTTTTAACTCGCTGAACTGTCACTCATATTCAATGCTGATGCCCGTTTTGTTTAAAAGGCTCCGTAGTAGAAGTCTCGCTTCTAGTATTCTAAGCTTATAGCAGACGGTTCTCTAAGAAGCTTAATTTAATTCTAATCCCCGGCCAATTTTAACATTTTTCATGCTTATAAAGTCTTTTCAAAACATCGTTTTCTTTACCTGTCAGGAGAAGAAGGAGAAGACTTGAAAACTGTATAGTATATAAAGAATACTACAATCGTGATTTGTGGCATGAGATAAGAATCAAGAGAATGGCAAAATATATCTCATAATCAGATGGAGCAGGGCCAGCACTATCGTAAATTCCGCTACCGTACCGTACCGTAGACCGGTAGAAAAGGTAGCAGAATGAACGATGCACCAAGAACTTGGAGAACAAAAGCCACAAGATATTTTTTGGTATAAAGAAAGTTAGCAAATGGATTATTATCAAAAATATATGGTTTTTACTTTCTCAAAGTGAAGTGATTGCCGGACATCAGCACACTTAGGCCTTCAGATGAGCCCATTGTGTGGAGTTTACAAAACTTAACAGTCGCCGTATCTTAACTTAACTCGCTCAAGTCTCCAAACGTTCCCGTCCCTAGAGACTTCAACCCAAGCATCCAAATCGTGAGGCTTTCGCAAAGGACGTAGCTTAAGGTTTTTAAGGCGCGATTATGCCATGTGAAACCTTTGCTCGATTTTGATCATATTGTCTTGGTAACAGTAGATGCATTGAGACTTCTATATCTTAAGTTATCCACGATCAAGTGCTCACATATTCTGTAGCTGTAAAACTGGGCGCGGTGTAGTTGTTCTTGCGTATATAGTATAAATATTTTAAGACAACGCCTTTTGTAATATTGAAAAAAGTGAAAGACAACAATAAGTGAAAGCGGCAGACATGTGGCTTAATGGGATAACCATTGGCTAGTGCTGTGGGCATGCCAAGTTCGATCCAATTCGAACAAAGGTGTGTAGAAAAAGAAGTCTAGTGAAGAAACCTGGTGGTTTTCGAAATAGCAGCTATAACTTCTACCAACCAAAACTGTTGTTGTTATTTTTCCAATGTAAAGTTCAGTAATTGGCAATATTTTTTTCACTTTAAAACCGATTGGTAGAAACAGCGGCATTTCCATACTGCTTCAAGCTTACATCATCATTTATGAATACCTTGCATCATCATCTTAAGAACGCAACCAGCAATAGTAAATATCACCAACTACTTAATGAAATCCTAGATCATCATAAAAAAGGTTGGGATATACTATATACAGACGGATCTAAATCAGACACCGGTACTGCATTTGCTGTGACAAACATACGAGGTGCTACCATCGCTGCATATTCTCTTCCATCACACTGCTGGGCATTTACAGTCTTAATTTGTTCATCACAACATGGTAGTAAAACAATTATTTGCTCTGACAGCAAATCTGCCATTGAAGCTGTCCTCAGCCAACCGAACGAAACCCCTATCAGAAATGTTCTGTTCCAAAGCTACAATGAAATAAAAATAATATTGGTACCAGCGCACACTGGGCCAGATTCCCTATTTTTTGGCATAAAGTCAAAATTTTTTGTAAATTCTATTTTAAATTTAACTATATATTATGAAAGAGCATACATTAGGGACACCAAAACGATATTTAAAAACATTTTAGTTGCAACACAGCGTTTGGTATTCGATAACAAATGCATATGTTTGATCAGCTGTTTGTTCAAGCAAAATTGGCGGGAAGCTTTTACTCAACTTTGCGCTTCTGTTAAAAAACACCACGTGTCCAAATATTTTCAAATAAAATGGAACATAAAGATCAAGGTATGCTTAATACAGATATAAATTACTGATTTCGATTTATGTGTTCCATGTTGTAATTGTTGTTGTCTTTGTTTATGTCTTAGTTTAGGCAAAATCTAACCAAAGTATTCGTCTATTGTGGAGTGAGAAATAATTCGTGCCAACTTGTGCCAAAAACTAATAACTGATGTGTTTACTAAAAACTGTAATTAAATTGATCCTAGTAGTGCCTTTTGCCTAAATTAGCCTATGCTCTTTATATTTTGTTGTTAAAGGCAAGTTTGAGATTAGCCGATCGGTTCTGCTGGATGAGTGGATCAAAGGAGGTCGAAATGACAAAGCCTTAGTTGACTGGGTTGTTGGCGAATTTAAATATAATGATATTAATATTGACGAGAAAGCTAAAATCGCTAAGCAAATCAGAAGCTTTCACCTGTATATGATGAAAAATCTGGCTAAATGTAACCGTACAATTGAAGCATTTAAAAAAAAAAAAAAAAACATTTTAGTTGGCTTTCATCCACCATGATGG